AAAAAAAAAAAAAAAAAAAAAAAAAATTTCATTTACATTGCTATCATCCTCTTCCCTGAACACAGGAAAGCAAAAGTTAACTTTGCTGAAAGGTATTACATAGACATCACTTTCATAACTTTTGATATACACCAATTTATACCAAACACATTTAAGAACTCTGATGGTCTGGGCTTTGAGTAACTCCTAATCTTACACATTACTGATTTTCCACATTTTCCCTGTGATCTTCCAATTTACGGTTAATAATGAGTTTCTTTTTAGCACACATTTCTTTTTAGTATATATTCACACATTTCATTCTCAAGCTGGTATCAGTGCATGGTTAGGTAAGTATTATCTACAACAAGATTTGGACTTGAAAAAGTTGAAGCTCCATATTTTTGTCTTAAAATTCCAAGTATGTTGAGGGATCTGACTGCAGGTTCAGGGCCTTTTTTCTTATGTATACATTTAATTGTCACCAGACTGCCTCTTCAATAGAGGGAAAAAACACAGTATTACAAACATACTATCTAGATATTATATTTAGATCTAAAAAATGAAGTTTATTGCACAGTTAAATATGAACACATGGAATTTGTTTTACTCACTGAACAGACTCTGGTGTTCCAGTTAGCATACATGATCTTTCAGGCAGGCCTCCACTATCTACGGTCATAAAATAAAACCAGTTTAGCAGTAGTGTTAAGTCAGAAAGAGATGATGAAATTAAACATAATATACAAACGACTGGAACTTCACTGAAGTAGAATAATCAGTGTATCACAACATTTTTCATTTCTTTAGACCGTGATAGTCGCAATTAGCACAAAACATTAAAATATACCTTAAATGAAAGTTCTGGCAATTAGAAGCAATGATCAGCCTTCTGAACTTTCTATCAAAAACCCCCACAAAATAAAGAAAGGAAAAAAACCCCACAAATAGTTACCAGGTGCAATCTGTATTTTACAGCCAGACTCCTGCTGTATACGTGAGATCTGCTCTCCACCTCTGCCAATTACTGGGAGAAAGAAAATACAGAAAGATTATTTGTATTAGCAGCATCTGCTAACATCCCCCCCTGTACACCACCACCACATCCATACTACTTACTGAATCCAACCATCCCATCTGGAACTTTGTACTCCTCTGTCATCACAGACCTACAGAGAATGTTAAATCAAACAAAAGACAATGACCATTCAGAGACCAAACTGGCATTTAGTTTAATGGGAGGATATATATAAATTTAAGAAAGCTACTGCCCCCACTATCGCCCTGACTTACTTGCCTCCCATTAACCCTAAAAGTCATTATGCAAGCACAGTACTAAGTAAACTAACAATATACAAAAGAGAACACAAAAAGTTCAAGTATAATACTAATCGATCTAAGTTTTCCTTCATCCTCTTTACTATTAACAGATATGTGGTATTTTAAGTTTCATCTGTGTATCCATTGAAGTATACTGAAAATACACAAATTTCAGCATCTCATCTACCAAAACCAGCCAAAGCATAAGAATAATAGTTGCGTGTGGTTGTTTAGGGAAGAAATGAGTGGAAAAAAAGTAAGTTGTAGCAAATGTAGCTGACTGAGCAATACACTGTGTTAAATCTGAATTATATGGTTTTTTTATTTTTAAATCCATTAGCTTTCCTTTTTGTTTACAAGATAGTGTCAACCCCTTCCCCTTCAGATCTGCTTCCAAGTTCTGGTTATGCTACCTATGCTCAAATAGTAAAAACCAGTAATGCATTTCCCCTTTACTAAGTTTGATGCACAGCCTAGGCTGCGAAGAAGAAGAGACAGCAATGTAGATGCATTTTAAACATTTGGCTTGGGACTTGCTGAAGCTAAATTTCAACAGATCACACAAATACAGAGTAACTGCTTTATACCACTTTTTCAGAAAAATTTCTTGCAACTGCTTTCTTTCAGTAAAAAGGAAAACTCTGCATAAGATGTAGTGCAACTCTTACCTTTGTTGTTGATGCATCGGTGGTAGCTGATTTCCAAAAGCTGTAAACAAATATTGTTAAAATTAAATTCGAACAAGTAGTATAACTTACAAATAAGCTTCTCCTTTGACAATAAAACTTAATTGTATCAACTTTTGTCCAAGTTGACTTTTTAAGAAGTGTTCTCAAGAGATCTACAAACAGCTAAAAAGATTCTCAGCTGTTGCTAACAACAATTGACAGTTTTACAAAGCAGAGTCGCACTGCTTCAAGAAAGTAAGACAAATACCCAGCCATTCTTTTGATCTTACTGATTCAAGTATCACCTACCAGAACACTGTTTCAAATTCTTGTTCTGACAATGTTACACTTGTTTAGTTTTTTTGGCAACAAAATAAAAATTACTTACAGTCATTCTGAGGAGCAACTTTCTTAGCATCTGGTTGATCTGCAAAATTAAGATTTTTTAAATTTTTTTTGCCAAGAAATTCAAGAAGTGTTTACACCTTTTAGTGTGAATTGTAACTTTCCAGTGTATTTTAGTCCCCCTTTCCTTTTTTTTTCCTTTTCTTTCTTTTTTTTCCTCCAATTTCAGGGAGTTGATCATCTGAATAAAAGAAAGAATCTCTGCAACACTCAGCACTTGGTTAGTATAGCTGAAAAGATGTTAGGTTTTTCCGTATTATCTATTCAGTAGTTTAACAAAAGGCAGTTTTCAGAACACACTGTAGATTGCTCATAGATACCCAGTCACTGAAACTTAACTAAGACAAGGAACAAAGTTTAGCTCTATTGGTTGCTCAAGCTAATGATCTTCTATAGTTGTAGATTGCTCATAGATACCCAGTCACTGAAACTTAACTAAGACAAGGAACAAAGTTTAGCTCTATTGGTTGCTCAAGCTAATGATGCTTCTATAGTAAAAAAGAAAAAAAAAAATCAAATCCATACAAAAATCAACAATGATTTAAAGAAAAAAAATTTCTGACAATGACCACAAATCTAGATCAAACATCTGAAAATACAACAGTATCACATGGCAATGCAATCTCAATCTGAATGTTGATATGAAATTCCTATCCAAATATCAAGCATTTCATAGCATAAAACTTCAAAAAAAAGCAGATTCAAAGCAACTACATCACTACCATCCAAATCCTTTCTGTACAGTAAAGGAATAAAAGGCATAATTAACCTGTATCTGAAAAGATAGACTTCTGAGGCTTCCTTCCCACCCCAAAATAAAGGTTATATGAACCACCATAATTTATGTGCAGCAAAAACTCAGACACATATTCCAAGAAATATTTGTGTCAATCCAGAAAGATCCACTAGTTTATGTCATGTTTACATACTAAACACAGGTAATAAATAAAAATTCCTGCCTTTAAAAGGAGAGGGCATTCCCTCCCAGTGTGTTGTACTGCTCGGACTTGTCCAAGAGCCATCTACACATAAAATAAAAAGAATACATTACATATATCATCTGAAGCATCATTAGCTCATTTTTGTATATTAAAAACCTCACCGTTAATAGAAAAAAAAACCCTTTATTACAGGACACAAGAACTCCTGATATAAAGCCTTAGTTACATTCTGTAGACTGAGTTTCAATCCTCTTAAAGGAAAAAAAGGCATTGCTCTTTTGTGAGACCTATGAGAACATTTCAACAAGCTCAGAGATTTCTTTCCACAATTTAGCCAGGATTTTGTGTGTATATTAAACGTATCAAACCCTGTTAAGTTCAAACTGGCTGCTTAGTAAGAGACAGAAGATGACACACACACATTTCAGGAGAGAACTTTACTGCAGTATAAGGCAAATCCAAAAAGCTGCAACGTTAGAAGATTTAGGTATGATCTTATCAGGGTTCACACATGCTATAGGCTTAAATATTAGACTAAGCAAAAGTATGTACAAGGTAGAAAATTTACTTTCCTGTCTTTTTTTAAAGTCCTATGCTTTTACAATGAAATGCATTAATACTTTTATTTGAAACTGTGCAGTAATAAAATATAACAAACAACCAAATTTAAGGAGTGAGCACTTCCTGCTCTAATTGTAATTTACAAACTGTAATCAGTCCTACACAACAAAAGACTTAAATGACATACCTGTGTAAGCGTTTCTCAACCATGAATTTATCAGCCCCCCTCCCCAACATACATTTTCCTCTTTACAGAATTTAAACCACATTTAAAATATTTTAGAACAGGCTTATGTTCACTTTAGGTTAGAGCACAATGGTTTAAAACAAATTTCCCCATTAAACTGAAAATGAAAAAGCACGTCATGATCTATAAAGTGAACAAAATGTTTTTATGCTGTGCTATGGAAAAAAACAACCCACAAACAAAAAAAACACCTGCAATCTTTCTGGCACCATGGCCATACTCAACAAAAATAAATGCAGCAGTAATGAGTGCATACCTCCATCCTCAAGAGGTCTTTTTTGTCCTCCATAACCGTAGTCGTTTGAATTCATTGATGTGCCAGCATCTCCTCCAATTTTTGCTGCAATCTAAACAAAAAGGCAGATGTTGTGAGGAAAAAAAAAAACAAAAAACCCCCACACCAACATTCAGTCAGCCCTCATTTATTCCAGGTCTTCTAAACGATTTTAAACGATTTAGACAATGTATATTAAAATGACCCCAAATAAGTAAATAGAAGGCTGCTGCTAGAAACAGTTCTGCTCACAGAAATTTTATTTTTTAATGTCTTCAACGAGACTTGTGCTCATCCTTCAACAGCAAAGCTTCCTATATTTTCTTCATCGGTTGGAAAAAAAACCCCTGCCCTTCAAACACCAGAAGCTTTTTTCTAAAAGGGGCTTTTCCTTTTCTACCCATTCTTCACGAAACACTGCAGTATGTCACAGAAGGCCTGACCGCTAAAACTATTTCAAACCTTAGTAGTCCCGACTACACCGGATCTTCAAACATTGCCAAAACCGCGACGGATTATTACAGACGAGGCGAAAATTTTGCCCGAGAAATAATGAAAACAGCGCCCGTGGTGCAAAAGCTACAAATAAAATTCCGGGATAAAGAACTTCCTAAAAGACTGCCCTCGCCGCCTTCGCTCCGCAGGCCGCAGCACTTCCCAACCGGTCTGAACAGGTTAGCGGGCACCGAGGGCGCCTCGGGGAACACAATACGGGCCGCGCGGCGGAGCCGCCCTCCCTCCCTCATTCCCCTTCGCCGCCCGAGCGGCCCGGCAAGGCGCCGGGCTCCCGATAACGCGCCGCGCCGCTAGTCACCGGCCGAGATTTTGCCTCCCCGCAGGCCGGCGGCAAGGACCCCGCAGCGCCGCTCCCCTCACCCCCGCCGCCCCGCGATGGCGCGGATCACTTCGGGCCGAGCGCCCAGTCTGCCAGCGGGCAATGGCGGAGCGGAGGGAGCC